CTCTAAAGCATATTACTTAAACGCTTTTTTTAGAAACAAAATACGGGCCCCTTTTGCCAGGAATTGGCCTCCTTAAATGGGACGCAAGTGACGCATGTAATTACATCAGGCAATTAAGTGGGCGAAGGAGATGGTGGGGGTGTGAGGCAGCAAGTTCCCTCTGATCAAATAGGAAAGATATAAACTACTTCCTCGCCAAACCAACAAAGCCTTTCTTTAGTCCTATCTTTCATCACAACGATTACGCTCTCGGCAGCCCGTAGAAAATGTTTAAGTGACTGTGAGAATTCGAACAATTTCAGACCAATCGCATAATTAACCTGTGGAAAGCAGCTTTGTTGAAGATTGAGCTGTTTGTGAGAATGTGCAGCGGTGAGAGGTTGCTGAAGGACAGAGATGAAGTGTTGCGCTGAATATATCAGCTGGAAGCCTGCACCGGTGGTTCACACCTGGCCAGGCCGCCAACTGGCTCTGGAGAACAGCTTGTTCAGGCTGGACGCATTCGGTTTGGGTGTCGCGTGTCAAACTGAAGCGAAATGCTGTTCAAACGTGTCCGCGCGATTCCACGCTGGACCACAACGAGAGATGAGGACAACAAAATCACACCTCCACATCTGTACAGGGGCATTTTTTCGCTGACAACATATAATGAGAGAAAGAAGAGAGGAAAAGCTGTGGGCAATTACTACCGCTCAATATTTAAAGATTGTTGGGATGTTATTAGGCAACTTAAAGTTGTGTCAGCTGTTGACGCCAGAGGATAGATTCACCAACTGATGGTTGCTGGCAGAAATGATGAATTGACGTGACATGCTCAGCGCTTAGTTCACAAAGGCTCTTGGTTGTTCCTTAATTGTATATACTTTACCATTTTCAAAAGGCTGCTGTTTTATTGCACTCTGTCTGTTGCCCAGATAAGGGGGAAAAGAGAAGAGGATTGTATTGTATTGTATTATTGAGGATTGAAAAGGACTGCATTTTATTTCCATGGGGAGGTCTGAAATTACAGGAGGCCTATTATGCACGTTGCACATTTTGTTGTTGTTTTTTCGAATCCTAAAATAAAAATGACATAAAAAATCTGATTTCTTTATTGTATTTCTATAATTTCATCAATGCAACGAAACATAATACATTAATATTATAATGGAAGTTCAACTTAAAGCACCATCGTACAGCAGAGTAGTCACGTGGTGCGTCATTCTCTCGAGGATGCGCTGCAGGGAAAATAAACATTTAATCATGAATGCTCATTATGTATTTGTAGCCTACTTATAATTTTGATAGTAGGCTAATATAGCCACTTACAGCATGTGTTGCCTTCATTATAAGGCTTATATAAGGCTTTTAATTTTTTGCGGCTCCAGACAGATTTTTAATTTTTTTTTTGGTCCAATATGGCTCTTTCAACATTTTGGGTTGCCGACCCCTGCCTTAGGCTTTATACTTTTAAATTGACAAAAAGCTGGGTGCAGCTATGAGTTTTCCAAAATAACACAAGACTGCTGCTGACATTCACGTCAGTTCATATTTCTGCCAGCAACATCAGTTGGGAATCTATTCCTGGTCAACAGCTGACAACTTTAAGTTGCATAACATCCCAAAATCTAAATATTGAGGTAGTAATTGCACAGCTTTTCTCTCTCTTTCTCTCATTATATGTGTCATGGAAAAATGCCCTGTACAGGATGTGGAGTGTGATTTTGTTGTCCTCTCTCTCGTTTGTGGTCCAGGTGGAATCGCGGGACACGTTGAACAGCATTTCGCTCAAGTTTGACACCACACCCAACGAACTGGTCCAGCTGAACAAGCTGTTCTCCAGAGCAGTGGTGCCTGGCCAGGTGTGAACCACCGTGCACGCTCTCACTGATATATTCAGCTGCAACACTTCATCTCTGTCCTTCAGCAACCTCTCACCTGCACATTCTCACAAACAGCTCAATCTCAACAAAGCTGCTTTCCACAGTTAATTATGCATTGTCTGAATTGTCCGAATCTCACAGTCACTAAACATTTTCTACAGTGCCGAAGGAATCTATAAAAGATAGACATAAAAGCTTTTTTGGGAGACATATGTTTATATCTTCCTATTTGATCAGAGGAACTTGCTGCCTCACACCCCCACCATCTCCTTCCCCACTTAATTGCCTGATAATTACAGCGTCATTGCTCCCATTAGGATGCAATTCCTTGCAAAGGCCCTATTTTGTTTCTAAAAAAGGTTTAATAATATGCTTTAGAGATCTCCCAAAGATGCTTTAGTTCCGACAACATGGCACACACCCATCGTTAACCCACTGCCAGCTTTCTTTGGCTTTCATCTCTTTGTGTTTTTTCAGCAATCGACCAAAATTCTATTTTTTTTTCATGAGAACTCTTTAGTTCTCATGAAAGTACAGATCGCGTTCACACCGGAATAAGTTCCTTGGGAAGGATTAGGCAAATGAAGCCACTGACGTCACTTCTTCACGGCGTATACTGCCACCCGAAGTCCCCGTCCGGAAGTCCCCGGAGTTGGGGACTGGCTTCAGTAGAAGCTGCTGGGACTCCCAGCAGCTTCTACTGAAGCCTTCCGAGTAAATCGCCAGAACGCCGACACCTCTTCATCTCCACCGCTCCCATGTTTTCTTTTGTGTTCCCATAAGTTAGTCTCTAACGCTAATGCTAATAATGCTAATGCGAGGATAATAAAATGGCGGCTTCGCAAAACTTTTTGGGAGTTTTACGGGGCGTGGTTTGCAATCCGCCCAGCCAATCAGACATAGGAACCCTTTTCTCCCACGAAAATACCTGCTCCCTAGCAGGGACGGAAAAGGGGGTAAAAAGGTTCTCATTAACTCATTTTAGTTCCGGCTCTTTTTGGTGTGAACGCGAAATTTCAGAACTATATCGGAACTAAAGTGGGAAAAGTACTGCGGTGTGAACGCGGCTATTGACTTTACTTGGGCAGGCCGCCCAGGTATATTAACGGCCGCCCAAGTATATTTCGCGACTCATTTTGTTTTTTTAAAGTTTTTTTTTGTTATGTATGGTGAGGTTAAGGACTCGAGTGTTTAGATAGTTAACTTAGTCTAAGTTCTCAGTGGGTCTCAAACGGTTTGGTCACCATTTATGTAAACCAGTGGCGAACCGTGTCTATCACAACTGGACCTTCTGGAGACACACACACACACAATTTCCGTAAACACATATTTCCATTTGAGGGGGTAGTGATTAGGCAAATATGCATGAATAAAAATAAAAAATGTAACTTGGTGAAAAGAAGTAAGATACACTTTTAAAATTTGTTGAGAGCTAAAACTAGTCTTTGCTGCTGCCTCAAAGAGGAGCATGAGGGAGAGGAGGGAGACAGGTGAGGCTGATTCAGGAGCCCAGACACACTCGCAATTATAAATGAACCAAAAATAAAGTTTCAGTGTTTTTTCATATTGAAAATGGTATTGGTTATGGCCCTGATTTTGTGATTATTGAAATATATACAGTTCTGTTTCATATAGTTGTTCCCATAGATCTAGTCTGTTTATTTTCCCCTCAAAAAGCACCAGATTGATGCATTTAACTCCAACATTTAAAAAAAGAAAAAAATCTTACTGGGGCAACATGCCCCGGGACCCCCCTAGAGGATTTGAGGTCCACCCCCACTTAAAATCACATGGATAGGTTTCCTAAATACATTTACAATTGTATTTAAATAGTAACCCATGCCATGTCCATATATAATTATTTGTGGGTAGTAGATTTAAACTATAGGGCTATCACTATGGGCAGCAACGCTGTAAATATTGACAAAGAAATCCAACAAAATGGCACAAAGAAAAACTGGTAGTGGCCTGGCTGGGTGTATAATCCCCCCCCCCAAAAGTATATTTCAGATCTGTGGGAAACACTGCACTGACTGAACCATCAGCTCTCCTCCACTTGCACAGCTCAAGACCAAGCTTTACCACAACAAAGACATATATTTATTTAGCCCTAAAGCTGTACATAGATTGATCTCTTTCTTCTAGTCAAAGATAAACCCTCTAAATATATGTTATGAAGCTAGGTTAGCTTCAATTAGCACAAAGACTGGAAACTGCTTGCAACCACAACTTTATTTTTTGTACAGATTCAACATTCCCACTATAATGTGCCGCTAATAATAAAAAATATATATATATTCCAACAGTCTGCTATAGCTCTCTCAGCCTGTTTCCAGTTGTTATGCTAAACTAAGTTTACTGTCTCCTGGCTTAAGCTTCATACTAAACAAACAGTTATTAGAGTTTTAGTGATCTTCTTATCTAACTCTCAGAAAAAAGGTGAATAAGTGTATTTAAAAAATACACAGGAGGGGAAGCCAGCACTTCCCCTCCTGTGTCACTACATTATGCAACAGTCTTACACAATACGTTGATGAATTGGTTAGTAAATGGGCTGAAAATGTACCTTCAACTATTTTAATATTTATTTATTTCCATGCAAAGATTTCAAAATGTAATGGTTGCAAGTAAAATCCTAAACTAAATATCTTTAGACTTTAATAATGTGTATAAGCTTTGTTGTCTATCTTCAGACATTTTATGGACTAAATGATTGATCAAATAATTGTTTAAATAATTCACATATTACTGAATAAAGAATATCATTGGTTTATGCTATCCAACATCAAAAAATCACATTTGAACACATAACAGAAATAACTTAACTACCTTCGCAGTATGTTTTAAATACAGGAAAACAAACAATTCCCATGTACCCATCACTGATAATCCTGACTATCCATCACTTTCCCTTTCTGTGTTTGTCCCTGTCAATATGTGAGAATATTCATGTGATTATCATACATTTGTTTTGTCACATTTGTGGTAAGGCTGTGTGAGTATGCGTGTGTGAGAGTGAGTCACTTTTATCTCTCCCTGTGCGTGCATGTATGTTGTGCAAATGTGTGTTTGCACATGTGTGTTTGCACAAAGGCAGCGCCTGTGTAAATACAGACATGGATTGTGTTTGCAGGTTCTGTACGTTCCTGATCCCGAGTACGTCTCCAGTGTCGGAAGCTCCCCCTCCCTCAGTCCCATCAGCCCCCTGTCTCCCACCTCCTCAGAAGCTGATTTAGAGAAAGTGACGGTATGTTGACCTCTAATGCACAATCTCACACACTCAGAACAAAGTACATTAACAAAATTATTGTCATGCTATTAATGGTTTGAGTCTGGAAAGTATAGCTCCCTGTGAGCCATTTGCAAGACCATTTATAAAAAAGGATTTGCCCAGCTTTACATATTTTTTTATTTTAAGTTCTTAAAACGAAACAAGGGTTAAAAAGTTTGTTTGTTTGTTGTTGTTATACTCATTTTGTCCACAAGATGCTGATATAATATGTATGTGTTCTTAAAGGTGATTCTAAATTAAGCCACGTTACATCATTTGCTGACTCACATGAGTCTTTTATCTTATTTGAACATGGGGTAGTGGTGCACTTCAGCCTCTTGTGGCAGAAATGGGTATTACAACAACAAACACTTATTAATTGTTCATGAAAAAAGAAAACCTCACCTGCCAAAACAGTTTTTAAAGTAGATTTAAATAAGAACAATTATCTTTATGATTATTAACATTTTCCCCCAGCTTTAAAACACAGCTTAAAAATACCATAAGGATCAGGCTTTGATCATCAGGTTTTCTCGTTTGCCTCTCAGGGCTTCTGTAGTCATGAGATCATTCACGAGAGGCAGAAAGACATAGTGTCCCAATGGCCTTCAAGGATAGGTCAGAACATAAAACTTGCCTTGTATTTCCAAGGGCAGGACAGGAAGTGATGCGTGCGTACTGTCTTTCATATATAGTCAAAATCAAGGACATACGTTTTACTTCACAACACATTTTCTTCCTGTACTTCACTGAAGTAGCGGTGAAGGCCCTTCTAGTGAGACTGTGAAAGTATTTATTTGTTATGAGAATATGCATGTTTTCTCCATTGTGCCTACAAAACAGTGAAAGGAGACATCAAGATTGCATGCGAGGGAGGTTTACTGAGGTTTAGTTGACATTATGAGCCTTCATGCAAAAGCAGCAGGGATGGAAGAGTCCCACGATCAAGTTGAACAGCAAAATGTATAGGTTTTAAAAGACTTTCAATTACCCCTAATCCAAATGTTGATATTTTTGTAGTTTGGGCTCTTGGTTTGGAATCCAACTCAACTCTGGCTATATTGTACAAAACGTTATGTAGTTTGTTATCCTGAACAGTTTTACACTTTTGTTAAATTGCATTTAGAAAGCTATCCTAAAAACCTTGTTCTTCTCTTTCCCCGAGATTTCACTGCAATAATAATCTCTATTAACATTGCTTACATTCTACATCCTTCATTTGGGCCATTCACAGCATTGCTTTAATAACTAATTGAATTTACTTGTATTGTTTAATAGCATTTTATAAATGTATTTCTGTCATAAGAAGGCAGCACAAAACATGCAGTTATATATTCTGTATGTATTTTCATATATACCATCTACGTGTCCAAAAAGACTGACCATGTGTGTGCTTCATTTATAATTGACTGCTTTTTGACTCACATTGATGTAAGGAGGGAGAAGCAGCGCAGCATTTATGCTCAGAAACTGCTTTGTCATTATCAATCATGAAGCTGACGTGTAAATTGCTGGAGCGTTTACAGAACAAAGTGCATGTGTGAAATGGCCTATTAGAACAACTGTCTCTGCTAATGCATGGCTCTTATTTAGTATCCAAGCTGCTGACACCAAGTTTTGTTTGATTCATTATTGTAGTTTACATGATGATGGAGATGCATTGCATTTACACATGCAGCCAGATGTGTTTCTGTCCACCTCAAAGTGCATGGGTTAAGAAGTGATGACGACATTCACTTTAGTGTTGTTTTGGGGTAGAGCTGCAAGGATAAGTCTATGGACAGAAGAATATCTACAACTATTTGAATAATTGATCTATTAAAAAGATTCAAAGGCTTTATTTGTTTTTATCATAACAGCTACAGTATAGTTTAAGTGTATTTAATGCAAATCTACAGACCTAACCTCCTCCAACAGTGCCACATACTATATTTAAGACAAACTGGGAAATAAAGAAATACAATAGTGCAAGTGACATAATCAGGGCCGGCCCTTGGCACTGGCGAACTAGGCGGTCGCTAGGGCACCAGATCTGGAGGGGCGCTGCGTTGGGAAAAATATAAAATAAAAATAATTTTTTTAAAATTTTTATTCTGCCTAATTTTCTGCCCTTGATGTCATACATTTGCATTAATAATTGAATAAAGTAAACACCAACATTTTGCATTTGCCCTCTACGATGGGCGCTGTAAGGGATGAAAGTGGGGGATGTTGACTTATCTGGCGCCCGCAGCTCACAGCCAAAGCGCGAGCGAGCACGAGAGAGAGAGAGAGAGAGAGAGAGAGGACGCACATCGGTACCGCGGATTGTTGTTGGATTGAGGCTGATAACTACAGCTCAGTGAGGTAAAGGACTCTTGAGTGTTTAGATAGTTCACTTTAGTCTAAGTTATCTCAGTGGGTCTCAAACGGTTTGGTCACAATTTATGTAAACAAATATTTCCAAGGCTCACCTTTTATAATTATTTGGTTTGAAATCATTTCAATTCATACATAGGACAGTAACCAAAAATATTGTTTAAAACTGGAGATATTTTTAAAAAAATGCATGAATACATAAATGTTAACCTAGGTAAAATAAGATATAGGAACAACAAAAATACGTTACATGTATTTGTTATTGGCTATGGTAGGTTATTGGTTATGTTCACATACTTATTTGGTTATTAAAATGTAAACCGATCTTTTTCATATTGGTGTTTAGAGTTGTACCCCCTAGATCTAGTCTCTAGTAATTCTGCTCAAAGTGCGCCAGATTGAAGCATTTTACTTTAAAGTGTTATACCCCCGGACCCCCCTAGAGGAGGTGATGTCCACCCCACAATTAAAACATGTTCATACAATAATGAATACATTTGAAACCTTCTTTATGTATACAACCAACATGTCAATACGTTTCAGTTTTTGTAGTGTATTGGTCTTTTGTAGAGATATTTCATTTATTCTTTATATATTATATCGTGTATTGCTTGGGGGGGGCACCACCAAATCATAATCTCGCCTAGGGCACCAAAATGTCTAGAACTGGCCCTGGACATAATGGTGCCAGTAAGTTGCACATTTTAGATGTTTTATTTAAAATAAATATGAATTACTGTAAAATGAAATACTGTACAGTAAAATAAATACAGTACAAAAAATACGGAGTGATGTAATAATGTGTGGAATAAATGAGTAAATGGCAGAAAATGCAGCTTTTAGCCTCTCAAATATAATGCTTTCCATGTTTTCTGTCATATTGAAGTTAAAAATTTTAGTTTTAAGAAAGAAATCATAATAAAAGAATCAGCTTGAACTTTGAGACACTAGAATGGTTGTTTTTGACTATTTTCTAGACTAAACAATGTAGAATATAATAAACAGATTGATTTATAATGGTGTCGTTACATGCTGCTCTTTAGGTTTATTCCTGCTCTGATGTACATTACGTCACCTCTCATTTTCCATACTTATCCCTCTCAGCTAGTGTCACATTAGCAATATGAAGGATCTGCAGGTCAGAGGCATCATGTAGTTTGTGTCTGAAGTGTGTTCAGGTCTGGTCCCTCCAGCGGAACACATCCTTTCCTCACCGCTCTAACAGCAGCAGTGTAAGCCTTCTCCCTCGGTTCCTGTGTCTGCAGCATCTGAATGAGCCAATCACTAAGCGCCGCAGGAAGCCCAGTGGTCCCTTAAGAAATATGTCTGTTTGCTGGTCTCTATGGAAACAGACGTCTTGTTTTGCCTGTTTTGTAAGAAAATGAATACTGCTTTCTGCATCGCCATCACTGTCACTTTGGCTCCCTCCCACCTCCAGCGCTCTGCTCTCATCTCTGTCCGCTAATTTCTCCCCCCGGTTTCCAAAAGAAAAGGCCCCCGTTCATTTACTGCTTATCTATTTAGGTCATGCCTGCGAGAGCGGGAGCGTACTCTGTGGCTCTCGACGGGTGAGGATCAGAGAGAGGGGCTGGGACTGCAGTGAAATTAAGCCTTTAAAAGTGATGCCGTGTCTGATATTTAGAGCAACTAATGAACAGAGTGGCTCCCATTCCCAGACGAGCAGCCAGGCAGCAATTATTCCAGGCAGAGGAAGTGTGCTTGTAAGGCAGAAAGGAGGGAACGTTACCTCACCCTATGTGCCAGCTCTGTGGAGGCGTTGTGTGTGAAAGTGTCTGTATCTGTCAACTCTGCATGTTTGTGTGTCTGCCTGCACACTCCTATCTCTTTCTCTTCCTTACCGAAGCGAGCAGCATCCAGGTGCTGTTTGATTTTCAAACCACAGGAAGGCCCTTCATAACTCACTCGGCTTCTTTTCCTTTTTTTTACTCCAGAATCCCCGGCCTCTTTTAATTACAAGCCAATTTTTGTGCTCGCGTCTCAGTGAGGATATTATCTAAATAAATGGTTCTGGTAGGTGTGCAGTAATAGCTGGTGTAACCCTGATGAAGATGAGTGCTTTGAGGAGAAACTACTTTCAGATGCTTCTCTTTTACTTTTGGATATAAAAAGAGTCGGATCTAGCAGGAGATCTTTAAAAAAGCTATTAGCTGTTCAAATGCCTGTCAAATCATCAAAGCCATTAAAACATATCAGTCACTGCAGAATACTTTGTGCGGCTATTCATTTAAATCATAAAGGAAATCATACACATTTGTTTAAACTGTGCTAGCAATCACACTGTTGTATGCTTTAGTTTTCCATAACAAAGAAAAGACGGTACGCAAGAAACCAGAGTAAAATGAACTCTTTGAAAACACAAAGGTAGCATGAGAAAGAAAAGTTCCTTTTGAAAAATATAGAACACAAATTATATGAAAAGTTAACATTCAAATTGATGTGACTGGCACATGAATAAAAGGGCCATAAAGTCAGTGAACTATTTTAAGTGAAGCCAATTCATAGACTGTATACAAGAAGTGTGGACTTAGTTACTGTGAAGAGGTACTTTTCAGCTGCTAATTCTAGCCTCAACTAGCTAGCGAGCTTGATTAGCAAGC